ATGATATTTTTTTAATGACTTGGGTTTATCACTGTAGGATAGACATTCTATCCCAAAGAAGTAATTTTAAAAATGGAAAAGTTTATGGACTAAGATGTTCTATGCATCATCATCCATATTAATAAAAGGAAAATTAATGTAGCCTAAGTAAAAAGTAGCATTTGCCTATTCAAGGGACTTGTATAGAGTCATTAGGAATTTTTACAATTATATACAATGTCACAGAAAGTGCTTATTATATAACAAGTGAAAATAGGTATAAAATTATACATGGAGTATGACTAAAATTATTTTTAAAACACTATATATTGAAAAATAATGTAAGGAAATTCAATTAAATATTAATGGGAGTTGTGTTTGCTAGAAATTTAAGTGATTTTTTCTCTTCTTTTTATTTTTATTTTCCTATTTCCTTTGTGATAAAAATAAAATATTTAAAAAAATAACAGATTTTTGTTTAGCATTTTTGTTTTACAAAAATCTTTCATAAACTGTATACCATATTTAGAAATGCAACAGTCCTGTGTGATGATCAAGGCAGGAAATATTAGTCCCAATTTACAAAAGAAGAAATAGAGGCTCAATGATTTATCAAAGGTTACATTTGTCCAAGTGTCTGCATAAATGACACATGAAAAATAAATATTTTTAAATGCCCATGAAACTTCATTTCAAATTTAAACTATATCCATGAATTCATTATGATTAAACCTATGTCCATGAAGTCATTTGGATTGTCATCAAACAGGAAATGGAACAATCTTATTAATAACCACAAATTTCAATGGCAAGACTTATATGGCAACCTCTTAAATAATTCAACTGTCTTAAACTGTTATGTCTTATCTCACTTAACTTTCAGAAGTTTATTTGGTGGATATACTTATTCTCATTTAATAGATAAGAAAGCCGAGGTCCAGACAGGTTAAGCAATTGTCCAAGGTTGTATAGCTAATAATTAGCACTTGGTGTCTGATGCTAGGTCTTTTGACTCCAAGCTCAGAGATTATTCTGTTACACCACAGCAGCCCATCACAGCCATATATCCTCTCCTCTCTTCTAGACAAAGTACTAGCATGTGGCCTTCCATTATCCAGGCTTATTGCTCTCTGCGGAAAATGATTTCTCATTACTATGGTGGACTCAGTGCCCAGTGTGGTTCTGGCTTTGGGAAAACACAGACAGAAAAGAAGCTGACCAGT